AGCCCCGAGTACCCCCCCATGGCCAGAGGAGCCCTGGCCTTCCTGCCCCAGCTGGCCCCCCTGAGCGCAGGGCCAGCCCCAGCACCAGGCTGAGCCGCTAGCCCCCGCCAGCACTGGGCCGAGCTGCTGGCCCGACCCCTCCTCCCCCGCTGGGCCCAGCGCCACCCCGTCCGCCGACGGGCCTGAGCTCAGGGCCACCGGCTAGAGCTGAGCCCCCGCCAGGTAGAGAAGCTGGGCGGGGCTTCAGGGCACAACAGGGGTGGGGCCACAGCCTCCGTCAGGGGAGGCTTAGCCTGCCCTGGTGTATGATACCCACCACCCATGAGAGGGAGGATGATCCACTAGCCTAGGATCTAGATTCAGCTCCATGCTCTGCCGCAACCTTGTGTCCGATCTTTCAACAAGAGTAATTAACCACAGAAACAGCTTCCCAGGGTCAGGGTGGATTCTCCGTCACTGACCATTTTAAAAATCAAGATCGGCACTAGGAATTATTTCGGGGGAGTCCTCTGGCCTGTGTGATACAGCAAGGCAGACGAGATGATTGCAACGGTCCCTTCCGGCCTTGGAATCTAGGACGTCACTTAGGCCCAGCTCCAGAAAGAGATGGAGGATTATAAACCCCAGATTTCAGTGCTACTGTGATCCACAAAACCCCCCCCCCCCCCCCCCCCCCCCTCAGCTGGCATCTCAGCTCAACTTGGTCCTTGAGTTTTCAGGGTGAAAGTCCCCTAGGCACCTACGTTTCTGCCCATGGGCGTGTGCTGCGTCCCTCTAGTCATCTGGATGCCCATCTCCCGCCAAAGCCCCAGTGCAATCCTCAAACCAGGTGGAGACGGACACTCACTGCCGGGGACGTGGGAGATCCTTGTTCAATTCCCTCTTCCCCCCACCCACCGCTCCACCTGATGAGGAGAAGGGATTTGCACAGGGGTTTCCCCACCTCCTCAAGGGAGTGCCTTAGCTAGTGTCTCTCTGTCTCTGGTCCAATGAATATTTCAGTTTGGAATCTGCATGACAGCAGCTTCCGCAAGGGAGATGGAGAGATCCATAGAACTCTCTGCTCACTTTGATCACCCTGGGTTCCATCTCCACTAGTGAGTATCTGAGTTACATTTAAGCCCCAATCCTGAAGGCTCCCTCCACACTGCCTCCTGGCTGACTTTGGGCCTTGATAGTGGAGTTTCCCAGGTTCAGATCTGCCCCCACTCCACTTCCCCCAGAGGATTTACCCGGACCAGTTACCGCAGGCTAAAGCTTGTCTTCATTAGGATTTAAATGCAGGTTAAGAATACATCATTTTTTACCCCCCCCCAAGTGAAGAAGAGGCTTCTGGGGGTGGGGCTGAGAGAAAGAGCTTAGTTTGATTCTTTTCCTTCATTTCTGTATTTTTATTGCTAACTTTTGTATGTTTCTCTTCTCTGGTTTCACTGGCGTTTTTGTTTTTCTTTTGTCACTGAACCAATTATTTGAAAGAAATTTCTGATAGCCGATGGCTCTTTAATCTAGCAGAAAAAAGACATAACAAGATCCAGTGGCCGGAAGATGAAACTGGACAAATTCAGATTAGAACTAAGATACACATCTTTAATGGTGGTGATAAATAACTGATGGAACAACCCTCCTGGGAATATGGCAGATTCTCCATGCTTTGAGGCCTTTAAATCAGGAGGGACTAGCTTTCTAAAATGTATGCTCAGAAGAACAGCCATACTGGATCAGACCAATGGTCCATCTAACCCAGTATTCTGTCTTCTGACAATGGCCAATGCCAGATGCTTCAGAGGGAATGAACAGAAAAGAAGCGTTATTGAGAGATTCATCCCCTATCATCCAGTCCCAACATCTGGCAGTCAGAGGCTTAGGGAAAACCAGAGCATGGGGTTGCATCCCTGACCATCTTGACTAATAGCGATTGATGGACCTATTCATTAGCTCAGCCACAAGGTATGGGCTTGATGCAGAAATCACTAGGTAAATTGTACTGGTCTATGTTATGCGGGTAAGACTAGATTATCATAATCATCCCTTCTGGGCCTAAAATCTATTAATAATGGCAAAAAATTACTATTCTTCCTTTTAAAAAAAGGACAAAAAAACTTCAAATGTAGTCTGTGGATTAGATATCAGTGAAATATGGGAAATATGCAGTCTTCTCTAAGCTCATTATGATCCAAAAAATGGTCTGACACAGGGTGATAAAGTTCTGAAAGACTCCATTTTTAACGTATAAGCCAACTAACCGATTTGTTTGTAAATTCTCAGAACGTGCATTCTCTATTCAAAGAATAAATGTTTCAGTCTTGGGGAGGATATGCTAAGGTCTCTAGTTTATTATGTGCCTCTATCTTGGTAGCATATGAGCATCTGACCCATCCAGGCTTGCACATTTAGATGCAGCATATCACTGAGAAGGAGCAAGGGGTTGGTGTAGTTCCCATTCATTCTAACTCATCTCAGTGGTTACAAACACGCTGGCAAAAAAAGCATTCACAATTTATAAAAGGGATTTGAGAGCTCCTGTACATCACACACACACACACAGGCATTCCTGGGGTCGGGGTGGATCATAAAAATGTCAAATCCATTTCCTTAATAAATAAATGAAATCCTGAAATAAAATGACCGGAAGAGCTCTATGCAAGCTCCAAAGCTTGTCTCTCTCACCAACAGAAGTTGGTCCAATGAAAGATATGCCCTCCCCTGCCTTGTCTCTCTATATAGAATCCTGTGAAATACTCTTCAGATAGGGAGATTAATAATTTTCTCCACCATCTTCAGGTTGCCACTCCAGTCCCACCATCTCCTCTCCCCTCTCCATGGGGTCCCCAACCATAATCCCATTGCTCGGAGAAATGTGGCCTGTACCACTGATATCAATGTGGTACTCTGAAACCTAATGATGGCATTGTTAATTCTTTCACCCAACAGAAAAACAACAAACAAATCAATAACCCCCCCCCAAACCCCAAAAGAGCCTTTTTGAGCTATTGAGACACTTTAACACAGTCAATTTTGTGAATCCTGAAAAGGTCAAACCCATTTCCTTAAAAAAACTAAAACTTCAAACTTGGAAATGATTCGTTTTCTCCCTTCTCTTCAGGTTCCCCCCTCTTTGGTCTTCTCTCCTCCCTTCCCTACCTCCCCCCACCTCCAATTGCTCTGAGAAATATAGATTCCCCCATGGAGTTCAGTGGGTTTTTAACTCAAACATACAGATGGGTGTGGTTAGATGTTCGGCTGCATGTGTGTGTACTCCCTGTGTGCTGCCCCAGCTCTGCGCAGACAGCCGGCACAGCAGACCTCAAGCGAACCGCCCAATGACCACAAGATCCATTAAGGGATGAACCAGGCCAGGTTTATTGTCGACAAAGCACGGTAATGGCACCTGGCAGACTTTACAAAGACATGTATGCCCGTGACAGTGGACAATGGACGCAGTTCAGTGAATGGCGGGATTTTCCGTTACCCCCTCGGCTGGACTCTCTCAGAGATACATCTTTATACCCTGATACAAACAAATTATGTACTGCCCCTCTGACATAGTTAGTTACTGCCCCCTGACGTAGCTAGTTATTACCCATTTCCTTGTACATATTGGTTTGATTAAAACATCTTTATTTATTACACTGTCATCCTGACCTTATCTTTTAGGAGGGGTCGGTGTGTTCCTGTTATCCTTGGGGAATGTTTTGGTACCATCCTTGATATCGGGATGTTCTGGTACCTCTCTTCTGGAATGTGTTTGGGTGAGTACTCTGCGCCTAGCACGTCTTAGGAATCGGTGTTTCTGCAATGTTAGCTCTGTCCTTGCCAGATTCTGTGAGCTTGCAAGCAGGCGGAGCCTGACGTTTGCTCACAGCCTGACTTTTGCTAACTTTGCTTTATATCAGCAAAGCTTGCCCACTACTTTAGCTCAGGCCTCATACCAGGCCTCTGATACAAGGGCTTATATCTTAGGTTCTCTTCCTACTACACTGGGCATTGTCAATTCTTTCACTGCTGATTGTTTTCACCAAAACCTCCAGCCGCACGCCGATCCCTCAGTACCAAACAGCCTCTCATCCCACCCCAGGTGCCAATGGCCCAGATCCTCAAACATATTTAGGTGTGTAACTCCCATTGAAATAGACTCCTATATACCTTTAAGGTCCTGCGCCAAAATCCCCAAATGTCCCCCATCCAGAAACTAAAACCTCCAGCTTCCCCTTAAAAGAATCTCTCCTGCATTCTCAGCACAAAGATGTTGGGATATTGGAAACTGATCACCTGGGAATAGTGTAAAATAAACACAATCAAATATCTTGCTACACTAACTGCACCATTTAAATCTATTTAAAAACGCCCTTTAAAATTGTCTCTGACGTTGCTGCAAAATTTCCCCTAGAGGCTGCAGAATCACAGGTGACTACGGGCAGCATTTCTTATTCCCTGATCTTGCAAAATCCCTGGGCCTCCAGAATCATAAAGAATTGACAGACAAATGCCATTTGCTTCGCCTTCACGTCCATCTCTCTGCCATTTTGTCTGGCCAGAAATACGCTCTAGCCTCAATGTCATGAAGTCAGAAGTTAGAGAAACCTATTTTATGGTTGTCACATGAATAGACTCCGACTTTTATTTTTCCCCGGGGCTGTTTCTGCCCTGAGGCCCCGCCCCCACTCTGCCCCTTCCCCCAAGACCCCATCCTCACTCTGCCTCTTCCCACCCCCGCTCCGCCCACTCCCCAAAGCCCCTGCCTGCCCACCACTCACTGTTTTCTGCCCTCCCCCAAACCCCTCTCCAAGCCACCAAACAGCTGTTTGTTGGCACCGCCATCAGCTGCTTAGCAGAGCCCCCCAATTAGCATTGCCAAACTGCTGATCGGCCACGCCGCTGAACAGCTGTGGCTGATGGGTGCTGAGCCCCCACTATTTTTTTTTCCAGGGGCGCTCCATCCTTGGAGCACCTGTGGAGTCAGCACCTATGATCATATGGGACCATTCCCCTTCACCCCTATCTCAGGGACACAGCCGGAGTGGGGATCCCGCCAAAAAGAAAGGGAAGAGTCTCTCCCCAGTGAAAGAGGCCGGTGGGAAAATGAAGATCAGGAACTTGTTGTCAACATCAAAAAATGCCACCCGCCCCCCTTCATAGTCCAGAGCCACCCGGATTCTCCTGGGGATCGTAGGCAGGGGTAGAATGGTCTCACAGGCGGTGTAAGCCCGGTACTGACCACCCCAGTGACCCACAGCCCAGATCTCCTGCTCAGGGTAATTGCTCATCCGTCCCTTCCTCCTTACAGACTCCCTGGCCACCCCCACCGACCAGATTCCCCCAACGCCCACCTCCACCTCCCAGTAGTGTCTGCCCGAGGCGAACCCGTCACGGCCCAGCACGGAGAGAACGGAATCGAATCGCTCGGGATTGTCGGGCAGATCCTGCTGCTCGTGTCCCCGTCTCACGCCTTTCCCGTCCGCAGATAGGACAAGCTGGGGATGAGCCGTGTCTGGATCCAGAGTCACATTCGCTGGGGAGAGAGAATCAGAGCGTTAGGGGCAGAGCTTGGCCCTGTCGAAGGAGGGGACCTTTTCTCGCACTCCCCAGCAGCCCCATCCCCCCTGGGTCGCTCCCTGATTTTCTGCCTCTCTGTCCTCTCCCAGGCTCTAGGGGTGCTGCTATATCTGCTGCTGTGACTGCTTCTCTCTGCCTCTTCCCCTGCTGCGTCTCCCTGATGGGGCTGCCCCACTGCCAGCAGCAGGGACACAGCAGGGGAGGCAGCAGAGCCTGGGAGCCACCAGCTGTGCCTGTTAGGGAGAGACGCCCCGTCCCCAGCTAGCAAGGAGGAAGCAGCCCAGATCACAGCTCAAACTTCTGTGCAGTGGGGGGGGAGGGGGAACCCCTGGGGAAGAGCACCCAGCCCACTGCAGAATGGAAGAGAAATAGGGGACGCCAACCGATGGAGAGCTGCCTCCCAGCCCACATGGCAGACAGGAGGAGGAGGAGGCAGCCAGTGGTGTAGCCCATAGGGCAAGCTTGCCGATATTCACTGTCTGGCTGTGACGAAGTGGGAATGTTCTTAATGTTTTCTCTGAATACTGTGTGAATGCCTCAGTTTCCCCTATGCCTTTCTTAAGTATCTAGGTGGTGGGATAACGGTGTGTGATTGTTGCAGAGCCCTGGAGGGCCAGTGTGATGCTGTCTGCACAGAGAATGGCCGATATCCCATCTCCTGGCAACTGATGGCCTGGGCCCCTCCCCTGCAAGGTGCCAACTGAAGGTGTTGGAGAACAAAGAGATCAAGTGGCCTCCTGGCTCGGGAAAGAGACAAAGGCCAGAGGAGGGGCTGGAGGGGGTTTCAGTTTGGAGCTGGCTGGGGAAACAGAGGGAGGCCCAGCACCGGGGTCTGGGCTCCCTAGCCCCCCAAGATGGACCCGACTGAGGGGTCCTGTTTTCTGTACCCACAAGCTCTGTTTTGGACTGTATTCCTGTCGTCTAATAAACCTTCTCTTTTACTGGATGGCTGAGAGTCACGGTGAATCGCAGGAAGTGGGGGGGGCGGGGCCCTGACTCCCCCACACACTATGACACTTGCCTTCACTATATTTAGCTGCTTTCATTATATTCAGCTGTAATGTGAGAAACCTACAGGCCTGTGTACTGTTAATCAGGAATTCTCGAATTTCATTGCACCGCTACCCTGTTCTGACAACAAAAAATATTATATGACATCAGGAGGGGGGACCGAAGCCTGAGCCCACCCAAGCACTCCTGCCCCAGGCAGAGGGGCCAAAGCCCAAGGGCTTCAGCCCAGGCAGGGGGCCTGTAACCCTGAGCCCCACCACCCAGGGCTGAAGCCCTCGGGCTTTGGCTTCAGCCCCAGGTGGTGGGGCTCGGGCTTGGGCTTTGGCTTTGGCCCTGGGTTCCAGCAAGTCGAAGCCAGCCCTGGTGACCCCATTAAAATGGGGTCATGATCCACTTTGGGATTCCAACCCCCAGTTTGAGAACCGCTGCAGGATTAGCTGAAGCATAAATTAGCATAAGCGTGGTTAAGCAGGTGGTAACCCTTGGCATAGATTAATGGCCTAGCGGTTACCTTTAGATATTGGGAACTAAGGAGAGCTTGCTCAATGGCATGAGTTACAATGTTCCAGTCAGTGCTACCGCAAGGAACATCAGAAGAAATAATCGCGAATCCGCTGGAGCAAGGGGTGATGGTATGATCATGGGTTGAAATGGCTGTTACATGTTAACCCAGCATTTCTCAAACCGGGGGTCTGCGAGGGTGCTCCAGGGGCCCAGCTGATCAACTCCTCCCCCTTCCTCCCTCAACTCCTCCCCCTCCCTCCCAGTGCCTCCTGCACACCAGGGAACAGTGTTCAGCAGCATGCAGGAGGCGCTGGGAGGGAGGGGGAGGAGCAGGGATGGGGCACGCTCAGGGGAGGAGGTGGGGAAGAGGAGGGGCAGGGATGGAGCGGGGACAGAAAGAGATGGGGAGGGAAGAGGCCTTGGTGGAAGGAGTGGAGTGGTGCGGGGCCTAGGGGGGAGTGGGGGGCTTGGGGGTCCTCAAAAAATTTTAAATCAAAATGGGGGTCCTTGGGTTGCTAAAGTTTGAGAACCGCTGTATTAGCCTATAGATGCCAGAGATGGGGCTGGTCCTGTTGTCTCTTACCACCAGGTCCTCAACCCAGGCTGTGAGTATGCAATTCTAGGAGCTTATGCATTGAGTGATACCACAGATAACCCCGGTCCTGTATGATCTCTACCTTGTTATGTGGCTCGGGTCTTTTCTAGCGTTCTCCATTATTTTCATAAAGGTATCTAAGGTTTTACTTTGCCGTCAGGGAATGAGTCCTTGTCATCCAACCTGAGACTCCCCACAAGATATCAATCTCCGTAGTGTTAGGTCTGATTCTGGGGAAAGAACCTTCTCAGACTCCGATCAATTGGCCGCCAATCCAAACATGATTAACCTTCCAAAGGGTCAGGCAACAGTGGAGAGGTCCTAAAGAGCCAGGGTGAAGGGAGGACCATAAATGGAGACCCCGCAGCCCAGTGGGAAGAGAAAATGGGAGATCCAGGTGATTGAGGGAGAGAAGCAAGTGCCCCGGGGGGACACTGGGGGAGGATCAAGCCAACAGCACTGAGTCCCATTCAGTCAGGGGATTGCACTGCCGGCCCCGTCTCACTCCCATGCCGCGCTTGTCATGTGGGAACAGCAGTTAAGGGGTTAATATTGTAGGATGTTTAAGTCCCCCTCCCCTTTCCTGTTGCCCTCTCTCTCTCTCTCTGTTGGCAGGAGGCTGTTTTGTTTGATCTCAGAGGCTCTTCTGCCATTCAAGCCAGAGCTACAAATGCAAACCAGGAAATATCCCTGTAAAAACTCACCCTTTCTTCCTATGGTGTCCACGCCCCACGCTAGAGATCTCCCTGCACCGGTCTCTAGTCCCAGAGCCAGAGTGTCTAGAGAGGAGAGATGTCATGCAGTCAACTTTATGCCCAGCTTCCCACTCTGAATTAAACAAGCCCGCTTAATGAGGGAAGGGAAACAGAGAGAGGGAAAGGGGCAGAGATATGGAGAGAAAAAACTTGTTTAGTCAAGCCAGATGTACCTTAAACCAAATCAAGAATATCCCAGGAGCATTTTTATGTGACTATATCACTTGTTTCCTTGAAGGATCTCAGAACACCAATACATTCTTAGACTGAACATCAGAGAGCCCAGCACAGACTGCAGTTCTCATTGTCTGTTGGCCTGACCCATCGAGCTTTGATCAGCCCCACTTGTTGCTCCCTAATGGTGAGGGGCTGGGCTAACCTAAGCCGGGAGACTTGGTGTAAATCGTCATTTGCTAGGCTAAGTAACGGGAGAGCTTGGCAGGGAGCCAAGAGAGGGCACGCGAGAAGCTTTCCTTCTCCGTGCAGATTTCAAGATGGCCAGCACTAGAACAGCGGCGGTGACCTACCACGGATGCGCCATGTTTTCTTTCCTGCCGGAAGCCAGAAGGGACTTCCTATGCACAAAGTGCAAGGGGGTGGCTGTGCTGGAGGAATAGAACGTCGTGATTTTGGAGATGGGGAAACTGAGGCACAGAGAACCGAATTGATTTTTCCAGGGTCGCTCACCAAATCGGTGGAGGAGCTAGAACAAAACCCAGGTCTCCTGACTCCCAGCCCCCAGCTCTATCTCCTTGATCTGTTCCCTCTTTTTCTCTGTTATTAAACCATTGTTTACTGGATCTCTTTCTCCGTTCATTCATAAGTAGGGCCCTACCAAATTCATGGTCCATTTTGGTCAATTACACAGTCATGGGATTTTAAAGATCATAAATTTCATTATTTCAGCTATTTAAATCTGAAATTTCAGTCTTGTAATTGTAGGGGTCCCGACCCAAAAAGGAGTTGTGGGGGAGGTCACAAGGTTATCGTAGGGGCAGTTGCAGTACTGCTACCCTTACTTCTGTGCTGCTGCTGCTGGCAGCGGCGCTGCCTTCAGAGCTGGGCAGCTGGAGAGCGGTGGCTGCTGGCTGGGAATCTAGCTCTGAAAGCAGCACCACCGCCAGCAGCGGCGCAGAAGTAAGGATGGCACAGTATGGTATTGCCACCCTTGTTTCTGCGCTGCTGCCTTCAGAGCTGGATCCTCAGTCAGCAGCCGCCACTCGCCAGCCGCCCAGCTCTGAAGGCAGCAATGCAGAAGTAAGGGTGGCAATACCACAACCCCCCTAAAATAAACCTTGCGACCACCCTGCAACTCCCTTTTGGGTCAAGACCCACAATGTGAGAAACACTGGTCTCCCCCATGAAATCTATATAGTATAGGGCAAAAGCACACAAAAGACCTGATTTCACAGGGGGAGACCAGATTTCACGGTCCGTGACGCATTTTTCATGGCCGTGAACTTGATAGGGCCCTATTCATACGCAGGATTCAGCCCCTTTTGGATCTGGCACTGCTCCCTTCACCTGGATCCCAAATTTTTCATGATGTAGGAGAAACAAGTAAATATAACATTGAACCATATTCATGTTATTTCATTTCTGAATCCTCATTCGAAACTTCTTTAGCCCTGGACAGTTCCCACTGCCCCGTCCAATGGTCCTCTACTGTACTTTTGCTGGGTTTTACATTGGCTGCTAAGTGGCCAGAGCCCGTCCCCTCTTACAGTTACAGAGACACATCTCGATTCTCTGCCTGCCTCCCCTCTTGGTACCTTTGAATTTCCTCAGGGTCTCCTTTAAAGCAATAGTTTTTTGAGAGAAATCACTGAGTCTCTTTTCCAGCTCAAGAGAAATCCCTGTGGGCTGCTGGAACATCTCGCACCTGGAGAGAGAAAACTCTCTGAAGTGAATTGTATTAATTACATTAATTACTCCTTATTATGCATTACTTAATTGCCTTTTAATATGAAGCTCATGCCAGTCAATGCTGCTGTACTGGGGGCCATGGAGAATGGATTCCTCTGTGTGTCCTACCCTCACAGAAGGTGACACCGAGGCACTAGCTGTGCATGCTTCCCCCACAGTTATGATCCATCCTTAGGCTACAGAGACTATTAGGCCCAGATCCACAAAGGGATTTAGGCACCTGAGTCCCAGATTTAGGTGGCATTGCAACCCCCTTCATCTGCCACCTAACCCTGTAGGTGCCTAAGCTCACTCAACACCTACCTTTTAGCCACAACACACAGTCAACCTGTGGAACTCTTTGCCGGAAGATGTTGTGAAGGCCAAGACTATAACAGGGTTCGAAAAAGAACTAGATACATTCATGGAGGATAGATCCATCAATGGCTATTAGCCTGGCTGACAGGGATGGTGTCCCTAGCCTCTGTTTGCCAGAAGCTGGGAATGGGCGACAGGGGATGGATCACTTGATGATTGCCTGTTCTGTTCATTCCCTCTGGGGCACCTGGCATTGGACACTGTCGGGAGACAGGATACTGGGCTAGATGGGGCATTGGTCTGACCCCGTGTGGCCACTCTTATGGTCTAAAAATGCCATGGATACCTATGTTTCTGCCTTTGGGCACGGGCACTGTTACCTCCCAGTAGGCATCTCCTGCCTATGCTGCAGTGCAATCCTCAAATCGGGGAGGTGTCCCCCCACCTATCTTGCCTGTAGAGGTGCTGAGATGAAAGGCCTCTTATTCCATCCCCAGCATCCTGACACAGCCAGTCCCTTAGAGGTGGAAGCATTGCTTAATTTGTGCCAGGGCTTGCCAGGGCTCAGTGACAGCACCTCTAGGCTTGGCAGTTCCTAGCCCCGGCACCTTTAGGTTGGCAGTTCATAGCCCCGGCATCTCTAGGCCTGGTAGTTCATAGCTTTGGCACCTCTGGGCCTGACAGTTCAGAGCCCCGGCACCTCTGGGATTGGCAGTTCACAGTCCCAGCATCTCTGGGTGTGGCAGTTCATAGCCCCGGCACCTCTGGGCTTGGCAGTTCATAGCCCCAGCACCTCTGGGCCTGGCAGTTCAGAGCCCCGGCACCTCTGGGATTGGCAGTTCACAGTCCTGGCACCTCTGGGTGTGGCAGTTCATAGCCCCGGTACCTCTAGGCCTGGCAGTTCACAGTCCCGGCACCTCTGGGCTTGGCAGTTCATAGCCCCAGCACCTCTGGGCCTGGCAGTTCATAGCCCCGGCACCTCTGGGCTTGGCAGTTCATAGCCCCGGCACCTCTGGGCTTGACACATCAGTTATGAAAGTAAAAAATATGGCTTCTAATTGCCTCAGCCACGGCACTTCTTTCATTACAAAGTAATCACTGGGTGGAAGCTATTTAAAACCACTTAATTAAACTTAACACTGGGAGAATTGTGATTGTGCCCCCTACACCTTGCTGCTGTGCCCCAGGGTTTTAACATGACAAGAGAATGAAAGGCGAGGGAGAGTGAGACGGAGCCATGTACCTGCTCAAGGTGATCCTGATGTCCTAGAAGGAAGAGAAAGAGAGAAAGGAAGTTGATTGCACATGTGAAATGCCAAAGATCCCGCCTGCGGGAAATGAGCTTTCACCCATCAAGTTCCATAGGTTAAAGTCACAACCTACTTCTACATATTTATTAAAGCATTTAGATCACGGAGTTGGATTTTCCAAAATGGCCCGTAAATCTTCCCCTGGGGATAGGCGGCACGTTCTATTGGGCACAGAGAAACAATCCAGGGTGTTTTCAAAAGCAAATGCTAATCAGGAAGATTAACATTTCCCACTCCAATCTCCACCTCCATCTCCACAGCAGATTCCTGGGTTTGGCGCGTGTTATGTTGCCTTAGCAAAATGTTTAGCCTCCTACTTTGGAGGCTGGATTATGGGGTTCATTTGCTGGATCTGCTGCAGCCTCTCTCTGTGCCTGGCACATTGGGGCCTCTGGAGGCTACTGCAATACAAACAATAAGTTAAATATTTATGGGCTCATTTGGATTTGAACTTCCCTAGGGCACTAGCTGAGTGCAGAGCTCTGGCAAGCAAAGTTGCCACAGGGCTCTGACGCATTCTGCATGCACAGGGCAGCCGTAGGCAGCGTCTCACAGAGAACTGGGAGAGCAGGCTACATACCAGGAATATTCCACATCAGAGAAAATGTTGGGGGTAATTTTGGCATCATCCCTTGTGCATCATCCCCAGTTTTATGCATCATCCCCTGTGAAAATAGTTCAGGATACTGCGCAGAGGCAACTGGGGTGTCTCTAACAGAAGTGGGGAAAGGCTCTGGCAACGGGGAAAGGCTCCTGCAGCTGCCCACTGCTGGAGCCTATCTCCACAGAAAGGAAATTCACCTGCAGGAAATCACTCGCTGGCTGCTGGCACTTCCCCTCCAGCTCACTGATCAGGCTATTAAGATGGGAAATCTCCATGGGAAATCTGGTGACCGTTTCCTTTTGCCACTTCATAATCCTGTCCAACTCTTCCAGCCGGGCCAGCAGGAGGCGCTCTTGTTCCTCCAGAAACTGGCGGAGCTGCTGAAATTCAAACCCAATTCTCTGCCTCTCCTTTTTGATCTTTTCCTGTAACAGACAGATAGAAATGGGGAATGGGCAGGTAAAGACCCTGCAGAGAGATCAGGGGTATTTCATACAGCCATGTGTCTGCCAAAGGGAAATTTCTCACTACCCCAAAAAGTCATTTCAAGACTTTTTTGGGGGCAAACTCCCTATGGATGAGAGAGAGATCTTCCTAAAGCTTCCTTAGTCAGTCCTAATTTATGTTAATAGTGTGCGATCTTTAGCATGGATTCATAGATTCCAAGGCCAGAAGAGACCATTGTGATCATCTAGTCTGACCTGTGTAACACAGGCCATAGGATTTTCCAAAACATTTTCTCTTTAATTAGAGCAAATCTTTTTTTTTTTTTAAAAATCCAATCTTGATGGAAAAATTGTCAGTGACTGAGAATCCGCCATGACCCTTGGTAATATTCCAGTGGTTAATTACCCGCACTGTTAGAAATATACGTCTTATTTCCAGTCTGAATTTGTCTAGCTTCAACTTCCAGCCAGAGGATGGTGGTATATTTTTGTCCTCTAGTTTCAAAGAGCTCATTATCAAACATTTGTTTCCCACGTAGGTACTTACACACCGTGATCCAGTCACTTCTGAAGCCTTCTTTATTTTAAGTTAAATAGATGGAGCTCTTTGCATCTATTACTAGAAGGCATGTTTTCTATTCCATTGATCAGTCTCGTAGCTCTTCTCTGAACCCTCTCCAGTTTATCAACATCCTTTCTGAACTGAGGACACCAGAACTGGACATGGGATTCCAGCAGCGGTTTCACCAGGACCAAATACAGAGGTAAAATAACCTCTCTACCCCTACTCAAGAGTCCCATGGTTATGCATCCAAGGAGCACATTTTGGCTACAGCGTTGCATGATTAGGATGTTCTCATATCACTGGCCTAGTGAACTCCAGATTCATCTAGCAGCAGAAAGGGCAGCAGGAGGCAGGACTCAGGTTAACATTCTCTCCCTCTCTGGCTGTGTCTACACTGAAACCGCTACAGTGGCAGCGCTGCAGCTGCGCCGTGCCAGTGTGTCAGTGTAGACACTCACTGCAGCAACAGGAGGGGGTCTCCCCAGAGGCAGATCAAGGTCCTGGGCCGGAGCAAGTGAGAGGGCCCCAATGCCAAAACTGTGGCCCTACCGCCTGCAGTTCCACCCCCTTCCGCCTGCAGTTCCACCCCCGTTCCACCCCTCCCCCCCGCGCCCCCCCCCCCCCCCGCTTACTCCCCCTCCCCCCACTGCAGCACCGAGACTGGAGAAGCTCTGCACCGAGGTTGTGGTGGGGAGAGAGAGAGCTCCTCCCGCCCTGGGGCTGTGGCAGGGGGAGATTTTTCCAGCCTGTTGGTCCATGCGGTAATCTGGCACTGGTTCTCCCATTGCTGTGCTAAATTCACCTCCCTAAGAAGCAGTCACTAGGTTGATGAAGAATTCTTCTATCAACTTAGCACTGTCTACACCAGGGTAGGTCAGCTTAACTTCGTCTTTCGGGGGGGTGGATTTTTCACATCCCTGAATGACATAGCTGGGTCAAACTAACATGTTAGTGTAGACCTGGCCCCTCTCTCTCTCTCTCTCTCTCTCACACACACACACACACACACACACACTGCACTGACAGAGACTCCTAGGCAAAGGGAGGTGCGGGAAATTAAAAGCATGACACCAACAAAAAAATCCAATGAGAAAAATCATGATATCAGCACATCGGTCATTTAAAAAACAAATACAAACCGCAGAGACAAATGCTCATGGACACACATGAGAGAGACACCCAGAAACTTCCTGTAGGCACTCCCGTGGACAGCGACAACCCGTGCCTGCCACTGGGAGGGGGCAGAGTGAGGGCAGCCGGCTTCAGCAGTGTTACTGAGCATGCTCAGTCCATGGGAGCATGCTCAGTACAAATTGTGCAGCAAATCTGGGGGGGCACATGACCCCCCTATGTGTTGCCTCTGCATGTGGAAATTTAATCACACACACATCACACTCAGGAGCATGTGGTCACAACAAAACACAAATACTGCCCCCACACGGAAGCCGTAGAGCGAGAAACACCCTGACACACACACATTTATTGTCTCAGAGAGACACAAACATTCACATCCCAGGCTCTTAAGCTTGGGCTCCACTTAAAAGTTATATCAGCATAACCAAAGCGGTGAGGGGTGTGAAAAATTCACACCCCTGAGCAGCATAGTTCAGCCGACCTAAGTACCCATGTAGCCAGCGCTAGGAAGAATTCTTCCGTCGACCTCTCGGGGAGGTGGATTACCTATGCCAATGGGAGAGCCCCTCCTGTCAGCGTAAATTGTGTCCACACTGAAGCGCTACAGCTGTGCCGTGGTGGTGTTTACAGTGTAGACAAGCCCCAAGATCTAATAGCCCATATTTAAATCCTAGTCTAGACAAGGCCAGTGATACTCACTCACAGGCAGAGATACCCATCTCGGCTTTGGGCACCTACCAGATACTCCCAGCTCCTCCTCTCACCAGTCAGTTTAAATCCCAGGAGTTTTTCTCTCTCTTCCCTCAGAGCCTGCAGTCGAGCCTTGACTTGCTCCTGAGAAGAGAAAAAGGGTTTGGTAGGATTTCTGTTTTGGGTGGGGGAGGAGTGGATCCAATTCAGATTTCAATTAAATAAACTCTTTACCAGCTACTCTAACTCACGGGGAGAACTTTCTTAATGTCACTTGCCTGTAAATTCCCTGGCTGGATGGGGCCAAGTTTGCCTCCCATAATTCACTGGGGTTCCCCCCCCCCAGTCAGTAATGCTGGTCTGTATAATCTACACAAACCAAGGGCTCTGAATACCCTGCTTAGCAGTCAGGCGGTCTGGGGAGCAAGGAGTGGGTTATTGCTTTGTTGGGTATGAAATTAATGACACAAAAGAAGAATAAAACAACCTTAGTCAACTTTATTTCAAATAGACCAGCTTCAGAAAGGGACTTGCAACATCTAAAGGCACATCTATGCTAGAATCCTACAGCAGCGCAGCTGTACCAATGTTGACCAGCTGTTCGGGGATCGAGGGGCAAGAGGGAGGGGCCGTGAGGGAGGGGGTGGGGCAGGGCAGGAGGGGTGAAGTGGAGCAGGGGTGGAGCACCCACTAGGGAAAAAAAAGTCAGCACCTGTGACTCCACTCCCGGAGCGGCAGTAGCTATATCAGCAGGAGAGTGGGGGACTCCACACCCCCAAGCGACTTAAGTTATATTGAAGTAAGCGCTAGTGTAGACCTGCCCTACATTGCTTTGTGGATCCAGATCAATGTGTCCAGGCCCTCAAGGATATGGTGTTTGGACAGAATTATTAGATGACAAAAAGACAAAATAACTCAAATCCTATTTTCAAATAAAAAATATTCCTTAAGATTGAAAGCATAGATCAGTAACATGAGGGTAAAAAATCTTTACAAGAACATTGCAGTTGTTAGCAAAATACATCCATTAAAAAGCCAGGGAATTAGGAGTCAGTGTTAAACTGGATACTCAGCGTACAAGAATTGGAGAAATATATTACTTTATTGGGAGTGAAATATGTGGCATAGAGCAAGGAGTAATATATTACTCCAGTCAGTTTTAGTCACAACAGGTTCAGTGCCTGAGGAATGTAATTTCAGGGTGAAATAGCCCTGATCCTGTGACACACGCATGCTTAACGTACTACTCTGAGTAGCCTCATTGACATGGTTATATAAATTTAAGCATGTGCATAAGGACTTATCTAGACTTGCCAGTCATTGCAGGTGTGAATTTAAAGCACAGTACATGTGTGGACACTTTTACTCCAAAACAACAGTGATGTATTCCTATTCAGCTTAATCCACTTTACAGGAGCAAGGGCACTCTTGCTCCAAAATAAGAGTTGATCAGGAATTTTCTCCATGTAATGGACAAGCCCTAATTAGTGTTTGGAAGACTGCGACCTTTGATGCAAAAGGGCACATTCATTTAGGTCTAATTCCCAGACTATACAGCATTTTCTTAAATGTTAGGTGCACAGATCAGTAACTTAACAGCACAACCCCTTGCAGGAACACTTGTTAGCAAATTGAATGAATGAGACGTTAGGCGCTCAGGTTCCACTAGAAAAAAAACCAGTTATGAGGAGCACAGGTCAAAAATTTTGTGGCTAAGGCTTTGCTCCTCAAAGATACCTAGGCTCTCAATTTCCAGTGATTTCAATGGAATCCAGAAATCTAAAGACCTCTGAAGCTCTGGGTCAAAATTCCATGCAAGAACTCTGTTGTGAGCATAAATCGACCATCAGTAACGCAGGAAATGAGGAGTTCAAGTTAAACTGGAAAGAAACCCAAACGTTTAGTCTAGAAATTGCCCAGCGAAGGGCCCAAATTACACTAGGCTTTACTGAACTCCTGCCATTTTGATATTGAAAAGGCAACCAACCAAAAACACAAAAGAGGCATAAATAGAGACTCTGGAGAGAGAGATTCCCTACCTTGTACTTCTGGGCAGCCTCCTCTATGGGAACCACAGCGTGAGCTCCATGCGCCCAGGACTCTCTGCAGACCAAACAGATTAATTGTTGTTCCTCCTCACAGAAGAGTTTCAGAGGCTCCCTGTGTTTCTCACACACTCGCTCCGCCTCTGGCTCTTTTGTTGGAGGCAACTTCAGCTGTTTCACTAGCTCCACCATGTTTGCCAGCTCCCTGTTGAGCCTGAAGTTTCTCTGCTGGGCGGTCTGTCTGCACTGCGGGCAGGAGAAGTTTGTGGCCAATTCGCCCCAGCACTGAGTGATGCAGGCTCGGCAGAAGTTGTGCCCGCAGTGTATAGACACCGGGTCTTGGAAATACTCCAAACAGATGGAACAAGAAGCTTCCTCTTGGAGTTTTTCCACAGTAGCCATGGCTCTCTCCGTGAGGACAAGTGTGACAGCAGGTTAGTTTCACATCACTTCCCTTTGAGTGCATCCTGACAGCATTTCTTCTCCTGAAGCCGGCTCATTTGCTGGGCTGGAATGAGCCCCATCTAGTTTCAGCCCCTGAGGCCCTGGAGAGCAATGTGACCCTCCCCATGCAGGGAACAATGCTACTTAATTCCCAGGTTTAAAAAAAACTCTTTGAAACCGCAATTAAGAGAATGCATCTCTCTGCTATTGAAGGGCAGAACGGTGAAATCCGGCCCCCAAATGTCAATAAATGAATGTAATGTAATCATGTATTTAAATCCAGACATAGTAAGAAAAATTATTGGTGGTTAGGAGTTAGATTTCACCTAATCTCACTGGAGCTTTTTAAGAGCAGGTTAGACAAACACCTGTCAGGGATGGTCTAGATAATACTTAGTCCTGCTATGAGGCAGGGGACTGGACTAGATGACCTCTCAAGGTCCCTTCCAGTTCTATGATTCTATGATTACCAAGTAGGGAAGCGCTGTCCCTGTCCGTCTTTATCCCCTGCTGATCTCTCACCTTTGCGCCACCCAAGTTGCATTTATGTTATTTATTGATATTCCTGTAGCTCGTAGACCTGCCCCAGTCAGGCTCAGAGTCCTGTTGTGCTGCAGGCCAGACAAACTTGTAATAAAAGCCCAGATCTTCAGGTATTTAGCCTCCATTGGAAGTTAGGAGACTAAATACATTTCAGGACCTGGGTCAAAGCAAAAAATCCTTCCTCCATATTCATTAACATTCCCATGATTTCCTGGAGGGGGGAAAGGAGTGGATGCTGCAGACAGGGACGTACATCAACCATGGCAGACCATTAAAGGCAAGGCAAACTGTGCTACCTGAGCAACAAGCAATCCAAAAAAAAAATCAGAAACTGAGGCCTGGTCTGCACTAGGGAATTCAGTCCATATAACGACATCGCTCAGGGGATGTGAAAAATCCACCCCCCTGAGTGACACAGGTAAACCAACCTAGCCCCCAATGTAGAGAGCACAGTGTCGACGGGAGAATTCCATAGCTACCGCCTCTCTGGGAAGGTGGAGAAGTCTTCCCGTCAGCAACGGTAGTGTCTTCACTGAAGCGCTACAGCGGCACCGCGGCAGCGTTTTAAGCATAAACCTGCCCTCAGTGGGAGGAGACGGGGATGGTCGGAGTTTTAAGACCATCCCCACCCTGAGAACCCTTTGGTTTAGGTTGACCAGTCAGACGATGGGTGGGGGAAGGGGATACAGGAGACAAAGCAGAGCGGGAAGTCGGTGCCCTGACGTTTCGTCTGTTTGTCTGCAGGTTGTTGTGATTGTTTTGTCTATGGACCTTTCCAGTGAGGGACAGAAGTGGCTTAAGCTCCCTAAAAGTGGGCGGGGGGGTACTGGTGCCCAAACCATGACCCCGGCCCCTGTGCCGCCCCTCCCACCCAAGGCCCCGCCCCCACTCCGTCCTCCCCCAAGGCCCCACCCCCACCCCCACCCCATCCCTTCTCCCAAAATAAGGAAGATAATACAAGTGCTTTGTGTGACTCCAGGGCTTGTGTCAGCCAAAGGCTTTTCATTCATGGATAATTAGGGCAAAGAGGTTCTGCAGGGACAGATTTAGAACCCAAGTCGGTGGAACGGCCGACACGGTCACACCACTAGCTGGCAGCCATGGTAGGGCTGCCTGGGTTGTCACAGACGCCGCTATGAGATAAACACCTCAGGAAGTGCCACCTCCGAAGGCCGGACTGACAGCTTCCCTTGAGGTCCCTGAACATAGGCACCGACTCCATGGGTGCTCTGGGGCTGGAGCACTCACAGAAAAAAAATAGGGGTGCTCGGCACCCATTGGCAGCAGTGCCAATTAGCTCCTCCCCCTCCCTCCAGCGCTTCCTTTCTGCTAGTTATCAGCTGTTCACTGGCATGCAGGAGGCCCTGGGCGGGGGGGGAGGAGCGGGGGGAGGGAGAGGCAGGGTAGGGTGGGGGCTTGGGCGAAGGGGTGGAGTGGGGGCGGGGCCTGGGGTGGACCAGGGGCAGGAAGAGGCAGGGCAGGTGGGGGCTTGGGAGAAGGGGTGGAGTGGAGGCGGGGCCTGGGGCAGAGCAGGGGCAGGAAGAGGCGGAGTGGGTGGAGTTTGGGGGAAAGGGTGGAATGGGGGCAGGGCCTGGAGCGGAGCAGGGGCGGGAAGAGGCAGGGCAGGTGGGGGCGTGGGGGAAGAGGTGGAGTGGGGGAAGGGCCTGGGGCAGAGTAGGGGTCAAGCACCCCCTGGAAACTCAGAAAATCGGCGCCTTTGCTCCTGAACCTTGTTAAGTCCAGGAGGTGTTTCAAGAAGTGTTCGTGCACTGAGCTGAGCTCTCCAGCCAGATGTAGTGACGGACGTGCCTCCATCACTGGACATTTAGATCCCGAAGGAACCACATGAAGACACTTGAATATTGCCCAGTAGACGCGTGGGCATTTCTAAAAAGAGGTGAGAAAGTTCTTTTCATTGCCATTCCCTTTCACTGGAGTGACCCACCCTCGTGGCAATGGGCATGTCAGTAAAAAGCAACCACCGCACCCGTTAGTTCTGAGGGTTCCTTGGCTTATTTCTCTCCAGTAGAACCTCAGAGTTCCAAAGCCCTCGGGAACGGAGGTTGTTCATCACTCTGAAATGTTCGTAATGCCGAACAAAACTTTATGGTGGTTCTTTCAGAAGTTTCAAACTGAACATTGACTTGACACAACTTTGAAACTTTACTAAGCAGAAGAAAAATGCTGCTTTCCCTTTATTTTTTTTAGTAGTTTACGTTTAACACAGCACTGTACTGTATTTGCTATTTTTTTTTTTTTGGCTTTACTGCTGCTTGGCTGCGTACTGCCGGTTCCAAATGAGGTGTGTGGTTAACCGGTCACTTTGTAACTCTGGTGTTCGTAACTCTGAGGTGCTACTGTATTGTGTACTAAACAGGAAAGACAAGGGAGCCCATTGGAGCGATCAAGACACTTTAATACAATCATCTGGTGGATCATAAAGACACAGAATCCACTTGCTAAAACAATAACACTATAAAAGTCCATAAAATTTTCTCCACCTCTTTCCAGGTCCATCCTTCAGGACCCATCTTGTTGTCCCTCACCCATTCTTACCACACAGCCTTGAGAAATGTGGAGTACATCATTGAAGTCAACGGGTTTAACTCTGAAACCTAAAGAGGGCGATTTCATGCGTCGACATTGTTAACCCTTTGACTGCCAATCGCTTTTAGCAGAAACATCCACAGTCCCAAACGTCCTTAAAGGCCCTATTAGTACTAACCAGCAGCCAAAGCCTTCAGATTCTCCTTCTCCCAACAATGTCAATAAACACATGAATGGGAGCCCGGAAACTGACTGTGTGGGAACAGAGTAAAATAAACCCAATTCAGTGCCAAAATAAATACCCCGTTTCACTTCAAGTCAAATACTCCATAGGAAACAATTAGCTGGAGCTCCCATGAAATTTGCTCATCCTTCCGACACCTACAATCTTCCCCAAGAACGGAGGATGAAGACACACAGGCTAGGCCATGCCCATTGCTTCTCTAGCCCGACCGCTTCACTCTCTTCCTGGTTTTGACACCTCAGAAATACACGTCAGTTTCCAAGATCATAGAGCTGGGCTTGTCAGAGGCCATAGGAGCCCGGTCCATGGTCCACACTGGGATAGACTAGCCCATAGCTCAGGGATACAGCGTGAGCTGGGATTCCCAGACCCAGAAGAAAGGGAGTATTCTCTCCCCATTGAAAGAGGCAGGATGGAAAGTGAAGATCGGGGCCTCGTTATCAACATCAAAAAAAGCCACCTGCCTCCTTTCATAGTCCAGAGAAACTCGGATCCTCCCAGGCCTCCTACTCAGAGGAAGCAGGGTGTCGGGGTAAGCCCGGTACTGTCCCCCACAGAGCCCCACAGCCCAGATCCCCTGGGCGGGGTCCAGACTGATCCATCCCTTTCTCCACACAGATTCTTGGACGATCCCGACAGTCCAGAATCCCTGCTGCCCCAGGAGCACTTCCCAGTCGTTCCTCCCCGAGGTGAATCCCTCCCGGCCCAGCACGCAGCAGTACGTATCAAATCTCTCAGGATTGTCGGGCAGATCCTGAGGCGTGTCCTCCCACCGCACGCTTTTCCGGTCCTCGGTCAGGACGAGGTGGGGATTCGCCGTGTCCGGATCCAGAGTCACATTCGCTGCGGGGAGAGAGAATCAGAACGTTAGGGGCAGAGCTCAGCCCTGGGGGAGGCTGGGACCATTTCTCACACTCCCCAGCAGCCCCGTCCTGGCTGGGACACTCCTAGCAGTAGAGAGAGACAAGAGAATCATGCTGCCTGCTGAAGAGACATCCTGTACCCACCCGGAAGGCAGCCAAAGGGAGAACGCAAACCCCAGTGTACATAGAATGACCCTGGAGGGTTGGAATCAGTGGCCCCGAATGACAGCAGAGGCCTCTTGTTTGTACCAAAGAGCCCAGGTGGTCACCCCAGCCCACGGGGAATGGAAAAGGCACCAACTCAAGACTCCTCTCCCCAGTCCAGGGGCAGGGTGGAATTTTGAGACACGAGAAATCGAAACAACTTCCAAATTTTCCAATTTTTAGCAAAGCTGTTTTTCAGTGGCGATGGGAGCTGGCCAGTCTCCATATGGCCCGACAGCCCCCTTCTCACTCCCATGGGATAACAGCAGGTAAAGGATTACTAATACTGGGGTGCTAAAGGCCTTCCTCCTTTCCTGTAAAGCTCCTCCTTCATTGCCAAGAGGCTACTTTGTCCGACCTCAGAAACTTCTTCTGCAAGCAAAGCCCGAGCCACAACTCTCATGGTCTTCTCAGTAGGGAAATATCCCTGACACAAGTCACTTTTCCAGCTGTTTTCCAGACACTCACCCCATTCCACCTCCAATTCAGATGGCAGAGAATCTAGAGAGAGGAGAGAGGCATGTCATGGTGTTATCTTTAGGAGAAGATTTCTGCAATTCACCAGTCTAACAGGACTTTAATGATGGGAAACAAATGGAGGGGATGGGACAGAGCTATCCAGACAGAGAGAAATTAAGGTGGACAGAGCATGAATTCATCCCCCTACAGAAGGGCCAGGCCAAGATCTATGCACCTCTTGAATCTCCATAATACAATTCAAGTGAGAGACGATGGACCATTGGGTCTCAGCAGAGGGGTGAGTTTCACCTCCTGCGAATTCCTAGGCAGTTTGAAATAAAATAGAATCAAGAATATGATTTGATCCCTTTGTGTTAGGTAGAACTGATGTCATCCCCAGTATATCGCTCTCCTCAGTAATTAAGATAGATGAGCAAATCCATCTATGAGAACACAATTATATACACCTCTCCAAACCCTATCCCTACTTCAGGGATGATGATATATTCCTTTACTGTTATTTAGCTGGGCTTTCCCTTAGCAGCCAATTGCCTAGTGCCTAAATCCTCCCCGTCACAGACACACGTCTGGATTTGTGCCCCCTTGGTACCTTTGAATTTCCTCAGTGTCTCCTTCAGAACAATATTTTTTTGAGAGAAATTGCTGAGTCTCTTTTCCACGTCTGGAAAAATCTCCAGTGGCTGCTGGAAGTCCCCCACCTTGCACCTGGAGGAAGACAGGCTTTTTTATTGATTGTTCTTTATTTTATCGGCTTGTAACATGACTTTCACGCCAGTGAATGCTGCTGGACTAAGCAGCCAGGGTTAGGGTTAGGGTTAGGGATAGGTGCATAACTCCAGTTGAAATCAATGCTGTCTGGGGATGGCAGCTGCCCAGAGCCCATGGCAGGAGAGCAGGCCTCTACTGGATTATTGGTTTGATTGAAGCCTAGGCACATGTTCTGGGTGTTGAGACAGGCCCTTGCAGATAGGAGCCTGCCTGCTAGGAAGGAGGTTGGAAGCAGACCCCAGCTGGGCTAATGATTCTTTTGTCTGGTGTTTCTGTTGGATTTTGACCAGAGGACTCGGTTACCCTGGAAGGGGTTGAACAAGTGTCTTGGCTGGAGGGCTAAGCCACCTCTAAAGGGGAAGCGGGCTGAAGATCATGTGGAGAAACTGAGGCATCACCACTCCACACTGGGGGGGAAGGACATGCTGGAACTCCCCAAAGACTCCAGCAAGAACTCCCCAAAGATTCATCGGGTGGGGAAGATTTTTGATCATGGCTGATCTGGCCAGGGTCCTAACCCGTGACACAGAGGTGAAAAAACCCAAAGCCCACTGCCAGATGTGTCAGTCCCTCAGGTATCCAAGTTACTCAATACACACATTCAGATGACGGACGAGTCCTTTCCCTAGGATGGCTAATTCTATAGTCTAGTAGAAATGGAATCTACCCTGGGGGTTTGTTCAGCAGTGGGAGATTTCTATACCAAAGGTGACTCTGCCCCACAGGCTGAGCTAGGGAGACGGGGCTTTATTTATTCAGGGTATGGCTTATACTGCAATCCTGGGATGTGATTGCAACAGGGCCGGCTTAAGGCCGATTCCCCTGAATCGGGCCCTGCGCCTAAGAGGGCCCCGCGCCCTAAAGAAGAGCGCGTAACTTAGGTGCCTTTTTAATTGTTTTACTCACCCGGTGGCAGTCCGGGTCTTCGGCGGCACGTCCTTCACTCGCTCCGGGTCTTCAGCTGCATTTCAGTGGCGGGTCCTTCAGTGCTGCGGAAGACCTGGAGCGGGTGAAGGACCCGCCACCGAAGTGCCGCCGAAGACCCGGACCGCCACCGGGTATTCGAATCGGGCCCCACACTTCCTAAAGCCGGCCCTGGATTGCAATGCCAGTTAACGTACCTGAGGTAGCTTTCATTGAGCAAGCTCAGGTACCGGACTGTAAAGCCGTGGCAGAACATGCTTCAGCATAGGTGAGTAATGACCCAAGGTTCTGAGCGGGTTTATACTGCCTGTGCGAAAGCACATGCCGCTGAAGGTTGGTTGCTCTCAGTACGTGAGCTGTAGGCCGGCTAGGAGCAAAAACCATACCTCGTGACTGCAGTATAGCCCCTTAGTATTGTGATACAGCATGGCCAGAGGGCAGCAGGAGAGGGTTAGAAGGGAGCCTTATTCCCTGTAGAGGGAAGAAAGTTTGCTATAGATTAATTAGAGCACCTGAAGTCAATTAAAGCACCTGAAGCCAATTAGAGCACCTGAAGCCAGTCACCTGATAAAACCCCCCTGCTTCAATCAAACAAGGGAAGGAGTTGAAGCAGAGTGGATTGGTGTTGGAGCAGAGAGCGGTTTGGAGGAGCTGAAGCAGAGTGGATTGGTGTTGGAGCAGAGAGCAGTTTGGAGGAGTTGAAGCAGAGTGGATGGGTGTTGGAGCAGAGAGCAGTTTGGAGGAGTTGAAGCAGAGTGGATTGGTGTTGGAGCAGAGAGCAGTTTGGAGGAGTTGAAGCAGAGTGGATTGGTGTTGGAGCAGAGAGCAGTTTGGAGGGAAGCAGAGGAAAGTTTGGAGAAGTGCTGCAGTGGGCTAAGAAGACCAAGACCCTAGGTAAAGGGGCACCTGGCTTGTGCAGAGGGAGGGCAGGAAGCCCCCACAAGCTGAAGGGCAGGAGAGGGAAGTAGCCCAGGGGAAGGAACCGCTAGTTCAAGTGGTTTACCGCTATCCCTAGGGCCCCTGGGCTGGGACCCGGAGGAGAGGGCGGGCCCGGGTCCCTCCCACTCCACTCCCCTCCTCTAGGACACTAGTGGGGCAGTTAATATCCCAGTTCAGGGGCAAGAAACGGCGCCCTGAACCGCCCCCCGCAAAGAGAAAGCGCGAGACCTATCATAGTAGTGCCGGCAATTTGCCACAGTATATATAATCAAATTGAATCGTGCTTCCTTCGGGGATCAGAATCAGCCAGTCACCCCCAGCTAGAGAGGAGAAGCTGAACTGTGCCCCTCTCCCATGTGCTTTGCTGTTGAGTTGTGGGGCGAGCTTCCCACACAGTCAAGTGGGAGGGAGAAGGAGCCACATACCTGTTCAAGGTGCTTCTGATGTCCTACAGGGGAGAGAGAGATACAGAGAGCTCAGTCTCACAGCAATAACAACCAGAATGAACAACGAAGGGTCTTTGCACCTTTCCATGCATTTTATCCCTATGACCCTCCGCTCTATTTGGTGAGCATCTGTGCTTTGTTAATTTCGCACCTTCCTGCCACTTCCTCTTTTAAGCACAAATCAGTTATTATGAAATAACGAATTGATCTATCAGCAGGCCCCCAGAGGTCGGGATCTGGCCACATGAGGATCTGAACGCAGCAGCGCTGCTGGGGTGCCCGGCTGGCACACCTGCTGTCCAACCGATAGACCTTTATTGCCTAACACAGAGTGACTACCCTTGTGCTTAATGGCCCGGGGCAGACTTAGATCCGGGTTCAGCTGCTGGCCCAGCTCCTTCCTCTGTGGCTTTGGCGAGCTTTACTTCATCTTTCTGTGCCTCATGTGTGAAATGAGGATACCAGCCTCACACTGCACCTACATTTTCACTGTACAAGTCCCCCAAGCTTCTGGCAGGCAGCATCCGGTGTCCAGGCACCTACGTCACGTCCAAGCCCCAGTCCGATCCATGAACCAGGGGAGAAGAGCGGCTCCTATTCCAAGCTTTCCCATAGGGCCCGATCAGGTAAGTACAAGACCCAGGGATGGGGTCAGAGGAAGGGGAAGAGGCCTCACTGCACTGGAGGGTGATTCTCATTCTGTCTCTGGTCTAATTAATATGTAAATAAAGCACAAAGATGGCTTCAAGCAGCAAGACCCACCGCAGTCCATCCTCTAGGGCAGGCATTCACCTAAGAGGGGGCAGACACCCTGCTCACCAGAGCAGGACTTGAACCGGGGTCACCCACAGCCTAAGCAAGTACACTAACCACTACGTTACAGGTTTCTGAGGCAGAGCCTGCTTTATCCCCTCACCCAGCCATTTTGTCTGGCGTTAAGCAGTGCCTAAGCCAGTGATTCTCAAACTGTGGGTCGCAACCCCATTTGAATGGGGTCTCCAGGGCTGGTGTTAGACTTGCTGGGGCCAAAGCCGAGGCCTGAGCCCCACCGCCTGGCTCAAGTTGCAGGCCCCCACACCCAGGGCAGCAGGGCTCGGGCTTTGGTCCCGCCTCCTGGGGTCATGTAGTAATTTTTGCTGTCAGCAGCGGGTTGCAGTTCAATGAAGTTTGAGAACCCCTGGCCTAAGCCCTTCTCGCAAGAAATGCCTAAGTGAGGAGAGCAGGTCCTGTTTGTGGCTCCCAAGCAGGGCTAGGAGCCTCCCTGCATCCCAGGTTTAGGCTTCTAACTCTGGGCTTAGCACACATCCCTCTCATCAGCATCTCCCATCGGCTGGCTGAGGCAGCTCCCTACCAAGCGTGCACTGAATAGGGAGCCACCGCAGCTAACCCGGCTTTGTGGACGCCAGTGATTTTCAAGGGGCCGAAAAGCCAGGTGTTGCAATACTGAGTGAATCCAGGCCAAGGTGACAATCCCTTTGGAGTCCAGGGAGATTAATGAGGAACCCAGGAAGCTAAATAGCACATACCACCTCCTCAGCCGCCCCGGAACCTAAATGGGGCATAATAAAGCAAAAACTTTGCCGCCAAACCCCGCAACCGTGGCAGCACCAGGGGAGGCAGAGCCTCCTCTGCCTATTATCCCTGCTGCCCATGATCTCAACACCATGACAAAATGTGAAGTAAAAAAATCAACATATTTGAATGAAATACCATAAATCCGACACGGAGTTTCCTAGGCTCCAGTTCTTGCCTAGAACGGAGGTCTCACCTGCAGGAATTCACTCACTGGCTGCTGATACTTCTTCTCTAACTCACTGATCAGCTCACTGAGATGGGAAATCTCCTCCGAGAGTTTGGCGACACTCCCATTCTGCCAGTTCACAATCTCCTTCTCCAGCTCTCCCAGCCGGGCCAGCAGGAGCCGCTCTTGTTCCTCCAGTAGATGGCGCAGCTGCTCAAATTCAGACACGATCTTGCACCTCTGGGTTTTCGTCTGTTCCTGTCATGAACAGATTAAAACAAAGGGAAAGGAAAGGCAGGTCAAGAACATAGAGATTCAGGGGACATATAACTGGGCCCTGAATGTACAGAAGGGTGACTTTCATTGTCCTTAAAAACCTCCAAGGTCAAGGATTCTACAACCACCCAAGTTAACCTCTCCCAGTGCTTAATGCTCCTCAGAGTTAGGAAGCTCGTGACCCAGTGGCCAGTTGCTATCGCTGATGTCTCTTCCTTTCCTCCCAGGGTCACACACAATTTATCCTCATCATGTTTGGCTGAGAAACCTTCTATGGTTGCTCATACTTTTGAGGCAATATCTGCCTCTTGCTTCCTTGTATTTAGTCCGCTGGAGTAGAAAGTGTCTCTCTCTGTCCCGTTGCCTGCTCAGCCCATCCTCTCTGGGTTTAGACCAGGGGTTCTCAAACCTTTTTTTCTGGGACCCCCTTTGAAAATACTTCAGGCAGTGACAACCCAGCGCCCCCATACCAGGCCATCTTTACTTCTGCGCTGCTGCTGGTGGCAGCGCTGCCTTCAGAGCTGGGCGCCTGGCCAGCAGCCGCCGCCCTCATGACTCCCCCACAATAGTGTTGCAACCCCCTTTTGGGTCAGGATCCCCAGTTTGAGAAACGCTGCTTTAGACTGTGCTTTGCACTTTCCACCCCTAGTTTGTGGCCACCGATTTTGCCTTTGGAGCAAGTCTGCATTATTTTGGCACAGGGCCATTCCGGTGAAGTAACTGCCAGGGTTATAGCTCCGTGCAAGAGATCGGGAACAGCCTAGCTTGCGGCTGTTTGATTTCTTCTTCCCAGTGACTCCTGTGTGTTTTGCTTTAGGTGCTGATCTAGCAACCTGAGCATCTTTTGATTTTTATTGTTCACTCTACTGGTCAAAGAGTGAGGCTGACCCAGTGAGAGAGAGACCCACGCCCATGTCCCTGCTGGGTAATAACAATGGGCACCTACCAGATATTCCTGGCTTCTCCTCTCTCCAGTCACTTTAAACCCCAGGAGCTTTCTTCTTTCTTCTTTCAGAGTCTGCAATTGCATCTGGATTTGTTCCTTGGGGGGGGAAATGCTCTGGATGAGATTTCACTGGGGAAGGGGGGCTATTTTCTTCTGTGATTGATTTTCTTAGAACAATACATAACAAAAGGGGGAAAGGGGAAGTAGATAGTAATCAATATGAATTTGAAATAATGAAGTGTGGAAAATTGATAAGGGAGGCCAGAGACATCAGGGGGAAAAAAAAATCACAACTGGCATGGCTAAGGACAACAAGGAGGAGTTTTTTAAGCATATCAGAAAAAACAAACAAACCCCCTAACAATGGTATTGGCACATCACTACATCATGATCATGATAAACCTGCTAAGAACAATGCGGAAAAGGCAGAAGTGTTCCATAAATATTTCTGGTCTGAGCTTGGGAAGAAGCAGGATGATCCATTCCACATGTGAGGATGATGAAGTATTTCCCAGCCCATTTGCAACCAAGGGGGATGTTAGAAAACATCTAGGAGGGATAAACATTTTTAAATCAGCGTTCCCAGATAACTAACTCCAAAGGAACTAGCTGAGGAGATCTCCAGCTAGCTGGTGTTCATTTTTAATAACTCTTGGAACAGTAGGGAAATTCCAGAAGACTGGAAGCGTTCTAATGTCATGCCAGTAATCAGAAAGGGCAATCAGATGATCTGGGTAATTTTAGGCTGGTTAGCCTATCAATTCCAGGCACAATGCTGGAAAAACTGATATGGGATTCAATGTGAATACAATTAATGCCAGTCAACATGGTTTTATGGAAAACAGGTCGTCAAACCTGATTCAATTTTTTTTCAATGAAATTACAAGTTTAATTGTTGACTGTACAGATGTACTATACTTACACTTCTGGAAGGCATTTGACTTTTAATCAGAATGTGGGGTGATAATGCAATCAACACTATACAGTGTCAACAGAGCCCATGTTAAATGGATTAAGGACTGCCTGACCTGCCTCAAAAAATAGTTTTCAATAGGGAACCATCACTGAATTGGGGCGTTCTGCAGGGATCAGTGCAAGACCTAAAACTATTCAATATTTTTATCAATGACCAGGAAGTGAATATAAAATCAATGCTGACTACATGTGCGGATGATGTGAAGATTGGTGGAGTGGTAGATAATGAAGAAGATAGGGCAGTCGTATAGAGCGATCAGGATCATTTGATAAGTTAAATGTATATTACAATCAAATTCAAAGTTATACATCTAAGAACGAGGAATGCAGGCCAGACCTACAGAAGGAGAGACTGTATCCTGGAAAGCAGTGACCCTGTGATGCAGAGGTCCCGAAACTGTGGAGCATGCCCCCCGAGGGGGTTGTGGAGGAATGTCCGGGGGGGGGCACAATGGGACCCAGGCCAGATCCCACAGGGGGCAGGGAAGGAGCGCCACCCAACCCCTCCCCGCCCCTAGCTCTGCTCCATGTGCCCGGCTCCCGGCCCTACTCCTAGTCCCATCCCCAGCCTCAGTGCAGCTCCGCTCCCGGCCCCAGGGCCGGGGCCGAGGCTGGGGGCGAGGCCGGGAGCGGAGCCATACCTGGCTGCAGGCCTGGCTGCTGGACCCCATCTCAGCTCGGCTGCGGGTCTGCTCCCGCACTGCCCCCAGCCTTGGCCCACCCCCGACCCACCCCAGCTCCGGTCCCAACCTCAACCTCCTTACCCCTGTCTGCCCTCCCTTCCCGGCCTGGAGCCGCAGCCCTGCTCCCGGTCCTGGCTCGGGGGGGGGAGCCAGGGGGACACAGACAGGGGTAAGGGGGGCATGACCCTCAAAAGTTTGGGGACCACTGCTGTAATGGATTTAGAGGTCAGTGTGGACAAACAGTTCGACATGTGTTCCCACTGCAATGCGGAGGCTGATATGATCCCTGGATATATAAACAGTGGAGTCGTGACTAGTTTGTATATTTTTTTTTACCTGTGTATATGTTCACGGTGAGGCTGATCCTGGAATACTGCCTCCCATTCCAGGGTCCACTTTTTTACAAGAACAATGAAAAATCGGAGAGGGTGCAGTAAAGAGGCACAAACATGACTGAAGGGCTGGAAATAACGACTTAGGGCTATGTCTACACTTGAACCACTACAGTGGCTGCTGTAGCACTTCAGTGTAGACACTCACTACAGCCATGGGAGAGGTTCTCTGGTCGTAGTTAATTCACCGCCCCAAGAGGCGGTAGCTAGGTTGAGCAAAGAAGTGGGGTAGCACTGTCTACACTAGGGCTAGGGGGATTTTTCACATCCCTGAGAGATGTAACTATGTCAGTGTAAGTTTTCAGTGTAGACCAGCCATTAGAACAAGAGACTTAAGGATTTCAATCTGATTATTTTATCATGACTATTGAAAGGTGACTTGATTAGTGCATAAATACCTTCAAAGGGGGAAAAAATACCAGGTACTAAAGGACTCTTTAATCTAGTGGATTGGGTGATAATGCAACAAGAACAAATAGCTGGAAATTAAAGACAGATCATTTCAAATGACAAATAAGGCACAAAATGTTAACAGTGAGGGTGAGTAGCCAGGGAAGTGGCAGAGTTTCTCCAACTCCTGAAGTTTTCTGATCATAACTGCATGCCTTTCTGGAAGTTGTGCTTTAGCTAAACACAGGTCACTCGGTTCGATACAGGGGTAACTGGGCAAAGTTCTATGGCCTGTTTTATACAGGAAGGCAGACAAAATGATCATACTGGTCTCTTCTGGCCATACAAGAATGGCCATACTGGGTCAGACCAAAGGTCCATCTAGCCCAGTATCCTGTCTTCCGACAGTGGCCAATGCCAGGTACTTCAGAGGGAACGAACAGAACAGGCAATCATCAAGTGATCCATCCCGTCACCCATTCCCAGCTTCTGGCAAACAGAGGCTAGGGACACCATCCCTGCCCATCCTGGTTAACAGCCATTGATGGACCTGTCTTCCATGATCATATCTAGTTCTTTTTGAACCCTGTTATAGTCTTGGCCTTCACAATATCCTCTATTAATCTAAGGGAGGTGTGGTCACTTTCCCTCTACAGATTCGTGTATGTGAGAGATTATCTGACTCCTGCTCTGTGTCCTTTGAAATAGAGAAAAGAATAAGGATTAAAAAAAAAAAAAGCTGGTACAAAAATGGCGCTAAACTGTAGTTTCTTACCTTGTAATCCTGGATAGCTTCCTCTATGGGAGCCACAGTGTGAAATCTGTGAGCGCGGGACTCTCTGCAGATCAGACAGATGGGGCTTTGATCCTCCTCACAGAACAGTTTCAGACCCTCCTGGTGGGTCTCACACACCCTCTCCCTTCCTGCCCCTTGGGCAGCCTGGCAACTCAGCCGTTTGGCTATTTCAGCCACATTTGCTAACTCCCGGCTGGGCCTGAATTTTCTCTTCAGGGCCGTGCCTCTGCACTGAGGGCAGGAGAGTTTGGCCTCCGATTTCTTCGAGCACTGCCTGATGCAGTCACGGCAGAAGTTGTGCCCACAATCGATAGACACCGGGTCAGTAAAATAATCCAGACAGATGGAACAAGAAACTTCTTTTTGCAAACACTCCACAGGATCCGGGGCTGCCATGGCTGCCTGCCAGGGGGAGAATGAAAAGGTTAGTTTCACTTTACAATCTCTTCAGCCTTGGTCAGCAACTGGGCGGTTCCCTTGCTGAAGCTCCTTCATTTTCTGAGCTGTGAGGAGTTGCAGTCCCTGGGGAGGGGAAATTCCCCCCCTCTCTGGGCAGGACACAGTATGAAATCGCTGTGTGACAAGCCGCATCAATAGGACTGAGGCTGGTCTACACACAACACTACGAAGCTTGGTCAGATTCTGTTCTGGCAGCTGAGGGCGCGTCCACAGTGTGCCACTGCAGCGTGTAGTAGGAGGATTTTATGTTTGTATTTTGTATAATTTAGAATAAAAAATTAAAGAATGTTAATAATGTAGCATGTGTTAAATGTATTAATGTACCCAGGGCTTTGGAGCTGTGCTCCGGCTCCGCTCCAGCTCCAGGCAAAAACCTGCAGCTCCACTGCTCCGGAGCTGCTCCGCGCTCCAGCTCCGGGCTCCGCTCCAAAGCCCTGAATGTATGATATGATCCATATTCTGCTAGCCACTCTTCCTGAAAGCAGAAAGGAAGGGTCTAGTGGGCCATTGGTAAAGATACATCAGCCAGAATCTTGTGTCTGAAGCAGGGCCTCAGAGCCACAGCCGGGCTATGGTAAGAACTGCGCAGGCAGCCGCGGACCCTCCAGCCTGAGCCCCAATGTCCACACTGATATTTTAGAGCCCTGCAAACCCGAGTCAGCTAAGCCAGGCCAGCCACAGCCAGGCCACAGATCTTTCAGTGAGGTGCAGACGTACCCGTACTCCCAGGCCTCTCTGCTGGAGCCTGCTCGCTCCTAGCAGCCTCTGATCTCCCGGACCATCCTGCCCCATGCCTCCTGCTGCGCCCTGTATGGAAACCAGGAGATTCCTGCCTCCGTGCAGATGAAATGGCTCCCACTCAGCCAGGTTTGCCGGAAGCTGGGAATGGGCGACAGGGGATGGCTCACGTGACGATCACCTGTTCGGTTCATTCCCTTTGAGGCACCTGGCATCGGCCACTGTCTAGGGTTGCCAACTTTCTACTCGCACAAAACTGAACACCCTTGCCCCACCCCTGCCCCGCCCCTCCTCCAAGACCCCGCCCATGCCCCGCCCCTTCTCTGAGGCCTCACGCCCCGCTCACTCCATCCCCCACCCCCGGTCACTAGCTCTCCCCACTCTCACTCACTTGCTCATTTTCACCCGGCTGGCTCCGGGGGCTGGAGTGCAGGTTCCAGCTGGGGGTGCGGGCTCCAGGGTGGGGACAGAAATGAGGAGTTCAGAGTGAGGGAAGGGGCTCCAGGCTGAGGCAAGGGATTGGGGTGCGAGAGTGGGCGAGGGCTCGGGCTGGGGGTGCGGGCTTGGGGTGGGGCCAGGGATGAGGGGTTTGGGATGCAGGAGGGGGCTCCGGACTGAGGCAGGGGGTTGGGGTGTGGGAGAAGATACGGGCTCTGGGCTGGGGGTGTGGGTTCTGGGGTGGGCCAGAAATGAGGGGTTCAGAGTGCAGGAGGGGGCTCCAGGCTGGGGCAGGGGGTTGGGAGGCAGGGGGTAAGGGCTCCGGCTGGGAGTGCCAGACTCTGATGTGGGGCTGGGGATGAGGGATTTGGGGTGCAGGAAGGGGCTCTGGGCTAGGGAGTTCCAAGTGTGGGAGGGCGGTGCTTGGGGCGGGGGGCAACGTGCGGAGCCCACTGGCTGCCCCTATGCGTAGGAGCCAGAGTGAGGACATGCCAGCCGCTTCCCAGGAGCCGCACGTCATGGAGGCTAGCAGGGAACCTTGCCAGCCCCGCTGTGTGGCGCCGCCAGCCAGCCAGTAAACAGCCTGGTCAGCAGTGCTGACTGGAGCTGCCGGGATCCCTTTTCGACCAGGTGTTCCAATCAAAAACCAGTCACATGGTCACCCTACCACTGTCAGAAGGACACTGGGCTAAATGGACCTTGTCTGAGCCATTGTGGCTGTTCTTATGTGGTGATTTGGGAGTTAAATAACTGAATTCCATTTATTTATTTATTTTTTCAAAGAGTGACTATGCCTTTAAAGTCTGTGTTCCCCTAAGGGAACAAAATCTCTCTGTCTGACTTTATTTCCAGTGTAAATGTCCTATTAACCTGAGTTTAACACTGTCCCCAGCACACACAGGATCACATTTCACACCAGATCCCCCAGGGGCTGGGACGCGGCTCAGCCAATGAGACAGATCCAGGAAGGGAAACACCCAATTCCATCCTGTGTCCCTCTGCCAGAGGGCTGTAAATTCAAACTAACTTTGTTACCCCTTTCCCGGCGGGATCCATTGCCTGCAGAGAGCCCTGCACTGCCGAAAGTCTCCGGGAGGAAGCTTCTTGTTCCATCTGCCTGGAGTATTTCCAAGAGCCGGTGTCTGTCCACTGCGGGCACAACTTCTTCCGGGCCTGCATCAGCCAGTGCTGGGGGGAATTAAATACAAACTTCTCCTGCCCCCAGTGCAGAGAAACTGCCCAGCAGAGAAACCTGCAGCCCAGCAGGGAACTGGCGAGAGTTATCGAAGTAGCCAGAGGGCTTAGTTTACCGGCAGCCAAAGGCTCAGGACGAGTGAGTGTGTGAGAGACACCAGGAGGCCCAGAAACTCTTCTGTGAAGTGGACTAAACCCCCATCTGTGTGGTGTGTGATAGAGCCAAGGCTCCGAGCCAGATCTCACAGGGTGGTTCCCATAGAGGAGGCTGTCCAGGAGGACAAGGTAGGAAATACTTGCCCACTCACAATATTTGTACTGGTGGCTTTTTTCCAACCCTAGATTTCAGAGGCCAAAGCTCAGCAGTTCAGACAGACCTCATGGAGTCTGGCACCTTACTTGTGAATTTCCAGATGTTCAGATGTTGGGGTTCCTTTCACCTGAACTCCATATCTTCTGCCACTTTATTGGTTGTTAATTGTTAATTACAATGATCTTATCAGGATCATTAGGTTAAGTTACTGATCTTGGCCCTCAACTCTTAAGATACTGATCTTGGCCCTCAACCTTAGGAATAATTGATGATGGATTTTTGGAGCAAACTTGCCTCCCTCTGTTTTACTAGCAATCAGCAATATGGGAGCAGAGTTGTAGGAAAGAGATCTCTACCAAGCATGCTGAGAGGCCACTGCTACATAGGGAGGCACTAGGGTTTGTACATCGGAGGCCTGGACCCAGCTTGCATTCCTAAGATAAACTAGCTCCCCTCTGTGACCGGCGGTTCTCCCCCAGTTCCTGCACCTTCCATGGCCTGGCCTGTGAGTTGCCATATGGGTGCTCTCCCAGCCTGCTGCTGGGTTAAATAAACTGGAAAGCTAAATCCGTGCAGCAGCGTTATTGTTGGGGGAGGGGAGGATCATTGAGCCTCATGCTCCAAAGGAAAAAAATTAACACCCTCCCCCGCACCTCCCATGTCCCTTTGCCCAGGAACAATTCCAGACCCGACTGCAGGAAGGAAGGGAGAGAAAAGCTCCTGGGATTGAAACTGACCAGAGAAAGGAGAAGCCCAGAGTACCTGGTAGGTGCCCAGTGTTGTTACCCAGCAGGGCCGTGGGGATGAATGTCAGCGTGGGAGGTTTGTGTGTCTCTCTGGGGCCGTGTGCTGCTGGTTGGGAATCGTGTGTGTCTGTCTCTGTTCCCCTCTGTGGCTGGAGTGGGACTGGGACTCCTTGCCTGGCTCTGGGGCTGGGGCAGATTCCCCAGGAGCTCTGGGCAGCCCTGGGGCAGGACAGACGCTGATCCAATCCAGCAGCAGGTGGCCAGTCTCGGGTTTCCAGTGGCACCATGGAGCCGGGCCCATGCTCAGAAGAGGCCCTGGCCTGCTCTGCTTGCACTGAGCCCTGAGACCCTGCCAGCCTGCTGGCTCCCCCACCCACCACTTGCTCTTCTCAGCCGGCCCAGGGCTCCTCTCCACCCCCGGCCCCACCCGCCAGCTCCTCTTAGCCCCCTGGCCGGACCGCAGTGCACCTCCGGCTCCGGGCAGTCTCTGCTTCCCACCACCTGTGGGGCCCCACCTGTCTCCCTGGAGCTGAGCCGCCTGGGACTGGTGCAGAAGCCTGGCCAGTCTCGGACAGTGTGGAGGGCTTGGCTGGGCCCCTCCAGGCAAGTGGGTCCTGAGGGAGCCCGGTCGGGGCAATTACGCCACGCCTGAGGAGCCGGAGCGATTCCCAACACTGGGACCAGCCCTGGCTGCGCTGCCAGCTCAGCCCGGCAGACACAGTCGCCTCCCAGCAGGGCCGGTGAGTGCGTCCGGGAGGCAGGGCATAGGGGAGTGGGTCTCTGGGGAATCTGGGGGGGTCTGAAGATCTGTGTGTGTTGGGGCACTAGGGAGTGGGGGTTCTGTGTGGGGTGCTGGGCAGTTGTGGTGGGGCTGTGCTGGGCAGGGGTGATGTGCAGGGTGCTGTGCATTTGTGATGGGGACCTGGGGGGGGGGTGCTGGGCATAGTGGGTCCAGGGGGGCTCTTGGCATAGGGGGAGTCGGTGGGGGTATTTGTGTTGGGTGGGGGTGGGGCTGTGTGGCACGGCATGGGCCCGCTCCCGAGGGGAAGGGACATGCTGGAAGCACAGGGCCGGGCGGGCCACTGTGCATCTGACAACTGCCGGTTTGTAAATAGTGCTCTTGCACTGGATTGGGTGGAGCAGGGCCGCCGCTGCCATGCCATGCCCCATTGCCCCTGTCTGGCCCCTCACTCTGGGGACTGACCTCCCTGTGCCATGCTCCATTGCCTCCATGGGAGCCCACAAATACGTTTGGAGCCGGACCCACACAAGGTTAATCCGGCCCTGCAGGTGGCCAGAGTGATGAGGAAGTGGGATCATGGCCAAGGCTGCATTATGGTCAGTCCCTGGCTATCAGAGAGGCTCCCTGGGCCCTTCCCAGCCCCATCACACACTCCTCGGCTCGGCTTCAGGCTTGAACTTCCTGCCTGTGGCCTGGCCTACGCTGCAGAGTTAGGTCAACGTAAGGCAGCTTATGTCACCCTAACTGTGTACACGTCTACACTACCAGGTCCCTCCTGCCAACGTAACTCGCCCGCTACGTCAACTTTATTACCCTGCCTCCGCGAGAAGCATAGCGCTTAATGAAGTCGATGCCAGCGGCTTAAGTGGCCTCCGGGAGTTGTCCCACAATGCTCCGCGGTGACCCCTCCGGTCAGCGTTCTTAACTCCGCTGCCCAGCAGCCGGGTACACAGGTACCCCTCCCCTGTTAAAGGACCCGGAGCTTTAGAATTTCCCATGTCTTGTTTGTTCAGAGTGGAGAGCTCGCCTGCCCAGCTGAGCATGCGGGGTCCACGCTCCAAACGCTCTCCTGCCTGGAGTAGGCGGGAGGTGTTGGATCTCCTTGGCCTGTGGGGAGAAGAGGCTGTGCAGGCAAAGCTTCAATCCAGCCGTAGAAATGCGGATGTCTATGAGAAGATCTCTCGGGACATGGTGGAGAAGGGCTACCAGAGGGACCTGCTGCAGTGTCGCGTGAAAGCAAAGGAGCTGCGGCTCGCGTACCAGAAGGCAAGGGAGGCGAACGGTCGCTCTGGTGCAGCACAGACGTGCCCCTTTTACAAAGAGCTGCATGCTATCCTCTGCGATGACCCCACCTCCAAGAGCCGCCTGGAGTCCTCGGAGGAGTCAGAGTCCCAGGGCACTGCAGGCAGTGGTGAGTCGGAGCTGCTGGATGAGGAAGAGGAGGAGACGAATTGGAGACAGGCGAGTGGGGGATCCATTGTCCCGGGGAGCCAGGAGCTGTTTGTAACCCCAGAGCAGTCCAGCCAGTTGCAGCACTGCAGCATGGCTGACCGTGATGCTGGGGAGGGCACCTCTGGTGAGTACGCACTTAGCATTAATATTGTGGGGACACATGTTCTTATTTGCTATTTTTTATTGAAATAATCAGTGGAGGTAGAGTGGCTGTCTGCTTCTCAGTGCCCGGACCAGCTAGGCAGAGGGTGCCCTGCGAAAGAGATTGTTTATGTACACAGGGATGTCCCAGGAATCCTCCATAGAGATCTTCAGGAAACTTTCCTGGAGGTAGTCTGCAATCCATTGAAGGTTTCTGGGGAGGGCTGGCTTATTTCTTCCACCACGGTAGGACACTTTCCTGCGCCACTCCAGTATTGATTCGGCAGGCATCATCTCAGTACACAGGATAGCAACATAAGGACGCGGTCCGTACCTGAACGCATGCAGCAGCTGTTCCCTTTCCGCCTCTGTTACCCTCAGGAGCGTGGTATCAGCTAGGGTCACCTCTGGGAGATGGTGCTAGTATTCATTTCAGTTGCTCGAACCGCAAACACTAGTGCCTGTTTCCCTTCTCTCCCTCCTCTTCCACCCACCCCCTTGTGATAGCTTGTCCTACCCCCATCACTGGACGGGGCGCCAGAACCCAGGGGCACAACGGGGAAGGGGCGCTGGAATCGGGGGATGAGGGGGGCATGGCCACCCGCTGTTTAACATGGCCATAATTTGAGTGGCAGGGGTCTGTGTTCCCCCACCCCCACTTCTGCAGAAGCCCCAACGCCCCTGCCCCCGGGCCGTACTCCCCATGGCTAAGACAGCAAACCAGTCCAATGAACACCTTGCAGAAATGCAAATGTTCTGCTGTACATTTGCGGGGATTCAAGGGAGTGATTTTTATGCAGGAAGTCTGCCCTGGACCCTGGGTCTGCGCTGAAATGGTTCCTTTGTGGTTTTACAGCCAGGAGTGCGGCCTGGGGCTCTCCCTCCACACTGTCGGCGGGGCTCTTCCAGATAAGACGAAGGCCAAAGAGAACACGCGCCGACACGCCGCATGAGACGTTGAACGCCTCTGGGAGGGCGGACACCGAGTCAAGGACCGCTGTCTGGGAAAAAATGGATGTTATGAGCAGGGCGCAAGCCAAGGAGACTGAGCGTGCCATGCAGCAGGAGGTGCTGGGGATTCTGAAGGAACAAACAGACATTTTGAGGCGTCTGCTTGACCTTCAGGAGCGATACTTTAAGTCTCGACTCCCTCTGCAGCCCCTCCAGAACAGCACTCTAACATCGCCCTACTTCCCCTCCCGCCCTCGCACACATTCCACTTGGCGTAGGGGCCCGATGCAGTATCCCTTCCACTCAATCCCCGGGGAGGGTGAATGGAATCCCAGCCGCCCATACACTGACATGTGACAGGCCAGGCCTGTGCACTTTTAAACAGAAGGTGAATGTGCATTCCCCCTCCCAGTTGTATATTCCCCTGCGGTTTCCAAGGTTTACCTCTGTGGCACATGTTTCTGTGTGCAATAAAAGTCCATTTCTTGAAAACGAAACCATCTTTATGACTTCGAAGTGAAGGGGGAGGGAAACTGAGGCACTCAACGGGGGGTGAACAAGGTCACACAGAGCCAGACCTGTAGATAGAACCCAAGAATCCTGGCTCCCATCCCCTTCTTGCTCTAAGCATTAGCCCACTCTACCCCCACGCTCACAGCAGCCACTGGAGTGGCCCCTATGAGGAATGCATTATAGCAGTGGTTCTCAAACTTTAGTACTGGTGACCTCTTTCACGTAGCAAGCCTCTGAGTGCGACCCCCCCCCACTTATAAATTAAAAACACTTTTTTATATATTTAACACCATTATAAATACTGGAGGCAAAACGGGGTTTAGGGTGGAGGCTGACCGCTCATGAACCCCCATGTAATAATCTTAAGACCCCCCTTGAGGGGTCCTGACCCCCAGTTTGAGAACCCCTGCATTATAGGGTCTCAGCCCATTCCCCAGGCATCGGTTTCCCCCTCACTGCAGTGCCTTTGGAGGGGCCAGGGGCTGAGTGGAGTGTGGGGTGGTCTCCCCAGCTGTAGCAAGGGAGGGGGCTCTAGTGGTTGCAGCAGGTGGGGGCTGGGAGTCATTTTCAGAGCAAAGTAAGAGGTGTATTTCCAAGGTTACACTACTACACACACAGCCGTCAAAGCAAGGTTCAGACTATTGGCAGGCACAATGCAGAAAAGCAACACCCATTGCCTTGGGTCATTAATCAAATGGATTTACAAAGCCACCCTGAGCCGCATTGTTCCCCGCTGAGCTCCTGATAGCCCAGGTAGCTGGCTGCTCAAAATTAGCAGACTGCTGATCCGCCGCCTTGCCCCCACCCCTGTGGAAACGTCTCTCCCTTTGCTCCACAGAAATTATGAAGCACACAGCAGGCAGTGATAACAGAAGTTAAGATTCTGTCACGGTTCTTTTTAGTAAAAGTCACAGGCAATAAACAAAAATACACGGACACCTGTGACCTGTCCCTGACTTTTACTAAAAATAACTGTTACATTCTATACCTTGGGGGAGTGTACTGTAACCCCCATATTCCTCATTTTCATATCATTGTGATCTTACCTTACAAGGCATGCTTTATATGTATCAGGAGAAAGGTTATGATCTGCTGAAAGTCATTTCTCTATCCATATATGTGTATCATTAATGCAGATGAAGTTATGAGAATTGTGTTGTATGGTGGGTCACTAAAACATGCTGTAAATTATGGAATCAGCCAGATATTAGCTCCCCAGAGGCAACAGCAAGGAAAGTGACCAACACCCAGGCGGGGTTTCAAACAACCCATCAACAACCATTGCCCAGCAAGGAAGCTACAATTCAATGACTCACCTGCATGAGGCCGCACCAAGGGAATTGCTCAGCTTTGCCTGGAGACTCAGCAATGCCCCCAGACATGCCTGGACTTGTGTTCCCCAGCACATGGGATAGAGGGTATAAAACAGAACAGAGCAGGCCCATGCTTCACCCTTCTCCTGCCTCCACCTATGCTGCAAGCAACTAAGACACTGAAAAGAAGACAAGACTCCCAACAAAGGAGACTGGCCCAATTTCAAGGGTGATATCCAGGGCCGGTGCAAGGATATTTTGCACCCTAGGCGAAACTGCCACCTTGTGCCCCCCCCCCCCCCCCCGTAACATCGGTTCATTGAGGGGCAAATCCCAACGAGCCTTTATAGACCCCAGGGGCTGCTCCCCAGACCAGGTTCCCCCCTACCCACCCCCTGAACTCCCCTGGAGGATGCACAGCCCCCCCCTCCCCCCCCCCCCCGTGAGCCCTCCCCACCCCCGGCAGCCCCCGCCCTGAGTCCACTCACTGGCTTTGCCGGGCTTGGGCCACTGCAGCAGCTCGGCAGGGAGGAACTGCCTTCTGGGGGCTCCTGCAGTAGATGCATGTGGGCAGAGGCCCCCGTGCGCCCCCCCGGCACTCCCCTCGCCACACTCGGGCTCTGCGGCTCCTGGGAGTGTGAGCCGCCGCTGCCCCTCCTGGAGCAGGCTCAGGGCCCCACGCCCCGGCGGCGGCTCACATCCCCAGGAGCCACAGAGCCCGAGCGTGGCGAGGAGGAAGCCGGGGGGGGGGGGGCGCGGGGGCCCCTGCCCGCATGCATCTGCTGCAGCCTGCAGGAGCCCCCTGGGGGGGTGCCAGGCCGCAGCCTGGGCAGGAGGGGTGGGGGGCACGGCTGCTCCCCGCTAGCGGCGCTGCCGCCTTTGCAGGGCTCCTGCCCCCCTGCGCTGCGCCGGCTCCTCCATGGCTGGGGCTCGTCGCCGACGCTCTGGATCTCCGGTGCCTCCGGAAGGCGGCTCCTCCCTGGCGAGCCAGGGCACCTCTTTTTGGCACCCCCAGGGCCGTCCTTATAAACTGGTGCCCCTATGCCCGACAGCAGCCTGAGCTTGCAGCCAGGCGGGGGGGGGGGGGGGGCAGGCCGGAGGGACAAGGCAGAAAGAATAACAAGATGCCCAGCCCACCTCATGTGGCGGAGAGTCACAGTTCCCCGCAGAGACCCCTGTACCCTCTCCCTCACGCAGAATTGACATGCAGAAGGTACCTAATTAAAAGCACTAAACTTGGGAATAAAAAATGTCAGTCACAGGTTTTTTGATATGCCCTGAAGTTTGTCAGACATTTATTTGCAAAAACTTTGTAGTAAGGGCGAGTCAGCTGGGAGAAATGGATGGACAGAAAGGACAGGAAGACTTTGGAAGTAAGTTTTTTTACTATAGTAATTAAAATGTGCTTTTTAGATAAGGGTGGTCTTTTGAAGAATTTATTTAAAAAACCATGTCTGAAGA